CGAACAACAGTAAGTTGCGTTCGCGGAATAGAACGTGATCGGAATTCCGTTAAAGCTCAGTCCATCTGATTTACGATTCAGCTGTATTTGAAGGGCTCTCAGAATCGACTGGAAACGAAAGCAATTCCAGATGTACTGTAGGTCCTCACCTTTCCATTTTTCACAAATCTGACTCTAATGTGTTACGAAAACGCTAAAGATCTGATTTAGGAATAGTCTAGGAATTGTGAGTTTGTAACATATCATAACTAAAGTGTCAACGCGATTGTTGTAGAGAAGACTAACCAATTATTGAAGCACTCAGTTATTTGTCGGCACTTTTTTTCTAACATAAGGTAGTACCGCGATAACTACCGCATCCTCTGTAATGTCCCTTCTACAATCATCGTTCTTCAAGCCATCGATATCTTAGCGACAGCGATCGCAGTGTGAGAGACACGTGATGATCACGATATGCAAATCTCGCCTAAAGCTTGAGGCATCTCAAAACGGATTTCATAGATTCCAATAACTTTGCCCTTCTTCAAGCTTTTTACGGCATCTGTGACTTCATCCTATTAACGACTTATTTCACTTATCCACGACTCTTCAGCAGAGTTTTCCTGAAGTTTCTCGCCGTTAAGAAGTTCCTAGAAGCCTGTCGTACTTTCCCCATTGCCGAAGTATATCCTTTCTATAGTAACAGGACCTCAGAACTTGCCCTTCAGGACTCTCTGACTGATCCTCTCTCCCTCTCGAATTCAGCGCATTCCGGATGGTCGGTCAGGGTTCGCTGCTTGTCGTCGAAAAGATCGACTGCGGCACCGAAATTTTCCCAAGAATAGCATTTCGCTTTGGCCGTTGCTTTTTTCACCTCTTCGCGCGTCTTCTTGCCTCATTGGCGTTGATGATACTTTGGTCCAAGCCTCCTTATAAATGCAGCATTACTCTCTCCGACAGTCAGGTGGACCTCTTATTTCCACAATGAAGAAGTTTTTGACACCAAGAGGGCTGGACAAACCGTTTTCGATCTTCGTAGCATTCGATAAAGCCCCTCTTGAAGAGTTTCCCTTCTGTTTCCATGTCTATCGTTATAAGTGGAGTCGTTTCAGTGCTTCGTGCGATGCTGTTAGCGACCTTCGCCCCTTTTTAGCAGAACAAATATGCATGGCAGTTGCGTAAACATTACGGATCGATAAACCGTTGTGAATTTATTCGTCTTTTGTAACGGCGACGAATGTAGCAAAGAATTGATGTTTATTTAAATCGTCTCAGTCATTGTTAGCGTTACTCACAGCGTACGGTGCTAGTTCTGGAATAGCTTTGAAAGCCTTGTATGAGAAGTATGTTGCTAAGCCTTCGCTTATCCACAGGTTTCGCCAATTTTCAACTCCAACCAAGTTGCCAGCCCACTAAACAGCCAAGTCACAGTGTGGTAATCAGTCAAGTATAAAGTTGGTTACCATGTGAGCGGCTTCATGTGAGTTTACATTCAGGTTTTGGTGCCTCTCCGGAGTAGTCTGAACGCTACTGTCGCAAATTAATTTCAGCTCGTTGAACAACACTATTCCCCAGCTTTCCATCGCTGCGTAATTGAAGATAGGCAGAGCGACCATGTCTGAAAATAGGGCATAGTAAAGAACTCTACCTCACCGGCATTTCATATCAGCCTCACCGAATTTCTCGAGAGGATAAGGGGCATCAAAGTAGTGCTCCAAATACGAAACGAATTCAGGTGCTGATTGCAAGATGGCATCCGACGTATGCGCCACAGAAGCTCGCGTATATGCAGTGTACTGAAACAAGAAATCGTCCAAGGATATTGCAGTGAGGCATACATCGAACGGATAGCGGTTACCTGTGTATTTCGTACTTTGCGGCCACGTGTGGGAACGAAGTCGCCAACGACGATGGCCATGAGGTAGGTTGGCATCGCGATGGTTGGTTCGAACGTTGTTTCTGCCCAGTGCAACCTACCGATTACCGTAAGATATACGAATCGCCCTGCCGTATGCTTACTCTCTTATGAATTTCGATTCCTCTTTCGCGTTGGATAAAGCTTTCATGTTCTGTGGATACGAAATGCCTATTTTAAATACAGACCTGTATCGCGGTTCATCGAAGCAAGGAAAAGCTTTCCTCGCTGCTGACTTCTGAAACTGGGTTGCTGCAAAGTACCTAAACACGAAACTGCGTATGCCTTTGTCGAACATGTATAAAATCAAGAGAAGTTTTCAGACGGTCCTTAAAGTTTGAATTGGTAACTAGGACACATGGAGGTGTATTACAGCGAATAATGAGGCCAGTGACGATTTGAAAAAGAAACTATTTTATAATGGTAAGCGATGGTTAGCGATAAGTTGAGAGTCAGTGTCTTTGGTTCAAATTTCGCATATTTTACCTCGGAAGAAATGGAGACCGATACACTGTAATTTCTGGATTTTTGATAGTGCTAATATATTACGAAGAGTGCAGAGTTCAACAGTCGGAACAGAAACCTTATAAAGATAGGACAGTGGAGTAGATTTACTCGTTTATCACAAAATGCGACCACTATTTAAAACTCGCTGTTTCGCCATCATGCCAAATTCTTTCACCTTATTACGGTAACAACCAACACCACTGAATAAGTTTCACAACTACCTAAAAGTAAACGCCGCCGTTAAGTCAATACTCTTGCATACATATGGCGTGTGTTACACAATTTATTTTTCAATCGTCACTCTTTGACTTGCTATTTCAAAAACTTAAGTCAATGTTTTCCTGAGAGAGTTACAGCAATAAACTCCTTATAATGGATAATAACTGTTCCCGGAATATAACTATTACAAAATTTTATTTTCAGCCAGTTCCACCGCATCGATTTCCTCCAGTGCTTTGGGGTAGGGAATCGTGTAAGCGGACCCACGTACATCCATATAAGGACCCTTTTTCTACCTCTGTCGCGAATTGGAGTAATTAATTGAGCAACCGGTTGAAAAGCAGATCTTGGTAGAGCTATGTTCCATGAAAAATCATAATCTATACAGTGATTTTATAATTGTAAGAGTTTAGGTAAACGTAGGCGCAAGTATCGTAACTCGCAATTCATTGTGTGATAATTGAAAAAGAATATTATGCTTTCGATTGCCACAGGGCACCCCTCACAACTCACCAGTCCTTGGTGGAAGAGCGTCATACAGAAATCTGTCAGGAAGTGAAGGAAAAAAATAATTTCCACCGTAATCGTCTGAATCTTCGATTTTGATAATGTCATTTAAGTAGGTGAGTCATAACTTATTCCAGAGCAGTAATACAAAATGACCTAATGACATAATGTTTAGATTTGTAAATTTGAAAATTTTTTTACCTTCGCTCTGCGTTTTCAGTGTATTCACGGGCGTAGAAGCCGGTCAGGTCGTCAGATAACCTACCTGAAAACTCAACAGAAAGGGTGTAATTTTTTCCTCGTTCCAGTGAACGCTGAAGCAAGAATGTGACCTCTTCGTTCGTCTCGTTTATCGAATACTTTTCAGGCTTGAATTGTAGCACAGACGAGGAATCGCATTCCATCAGTGTTAGTGACTCATTTCGCAATGTGAGTCCTTTCATGTTCATCGTCACTGTTTCGGTCATGATAGAGGTCTGGAACGTTAGCTCCATTTCGCCGTGAAAGGTTAAGCTTTCATTTTCCGACAGCTGAAGCGATTTCGTTGGTAGGTAGACTTTGAACAGTAGGTCATATCGGTGAGGAGTAAAAATGGTCAACATATCAGTGGCACTTTCTTCTTGGGTTGCCAGAGATACTTGTGATACTGTGACAAGTATCACCCAAAAATATCGACAACAAACGTTGAGCGATTCCTCCATCAAAGAGGTCAATATAGCCTGAAAGAAGTTTGAAAATCTTATGTAGTACAATATGAAACATGAAAATTTTTAATAAAGTAAGGATGCGTTAATTGTATAGTAATTCTGATGAAGGGGCCTTTTGTTAATGAACAATACGCACTATATATTTTCAAAAGTTTATTTCAAAAGTGCTCTGCGTCGCATGCAACCATGCGTTCATGCAAGACCATAAGAAACGCCTTTACTGGTCATTTAGACGATTTAAAACATTGTTTGACTTGTTCACACGTAAACCTCGGTTTCTGCCATTCCCAGTATGACTACAAACGAATGTACCAGATACTAGATGTTCCATGTTCTGCATGCTTGCATCTGCAAACCGCATTGGTTTTGATAGACTCTGAGCTCAGAAGCGGGGTATTGATATCTGGAACAGGATGAATCGCAGACGCAGTGATCACTAGAGCATGGTCATAGTGTTTACAGAATAGGCAATTATGGGGGCGATAAGGTTGCCCTAAATTTAAAATCAAACGGATACATACTGTAGTACTGATAATTACTGTATGGGAACTTGCATAGTTTTAAAGCTCTTCCCCGTTGTTATAGGCATCTTCCGAAACTCACTGCATAACTTGATTTCTGCATTTTCATTGCCTGTTCGAGAGAAAAGAAACCATTTTTTGAAACCGCTACAGAGCCCAAAGATATCAGCACCTGCCTATCACTGATCTCTCAGAGCCCTACCGTACCGATCCTTTGTCAGCGTGAAAGAAGAGGCACTTAAGCAAGCTTGAGAAAAGCCAACTGCTTGGGAGTGGTAGATCTTCGGGGTGGGTTGATTCATACAAGATTCGCCAATACATGCTGAAGACAGGTGCAAGTGGTGCAGAAATCCGCTCCGGTGATTCCTTGATTAGAATCTTACGCAGTGCTGCACTTCATCGAATCAGCTGGATTGCTTAATCGTTAGATAGAGACCTGCTAGACTTCAAGAATACTCACACCCTCAATTGACAGCTATGCATCCATTCGCTAAGAAATGTTCAAGACCACGGTAGACCGGAGAATCACCGACTTGCATCAGTGCGTGTTCCATAACAACGATAAGTCACATACAGGACGAAAGATTTTCAGGCTTGACTAACCATTAAAACGATCGGTCGATCCCATAAATAAACTTATGTTTCTGTGTTGATCATTCCTTGTAAGGTAATCATTTTGCACTCGTTTTAACATCTTACTTCGCCCAACGATAATGGGACGGTTTCTGAAATCAGACCTTTATTCCAGCTTGAACTTGCAGCGCATTTACTCCCTGTACTGTTGTAACCGCTCAATAGAATTATTCTCAATAGAATCTGTCTGCTCAAGGCCTCGTCTTCGGAATGTGGTGAAATAATTGGCAGAACAACCCTTCAAGAGCGATTCAGTGTTCAAAGGTTGAAGAACGAAGAATTTTAACAGTTCTGACCCTAGTGACATTGATATGGCTAAAGGTCCATGTACCTTGCTGGCCAAAGTGCACTTTTCGACTTTTATGGAAATTCGTTTTTCAGATTCGATGGCAAGACCAATGTAACGTCGTTTACCAAAAAGAACCACGAGAAATCGTTTGTCCTCTTTTCAGGACTATCAGATTTTGGACATATAGAACTGAAGCTTATTCTTGCTTAGTCTTCGCATGTCTGATAGCTCTGGCCTCATCTTGGGGAACGCCATGTTACATTCCATCATCATTATTAATCATGAGTCAACGACTAGCCGTCAAGTTGTTTTTGCTAATTATATAATAGCACCATGGAAAAATTCCTTGCTTAAGAGACCTGACAGTTTGGAAACTCGTGTACCGCTGGAGCTTGAACCGACTCTTCCAGGGGGCAATACAAACTCATTTTTTGCCGTGCCAGTACTCAGCACACGAAGGAATGCAAGAAATGGAATTCATATGACAAAATTTGTTTTAAAAGCTGCATGGCGAAGAGTGACCAATGGCCAAATGTATTGATTACACTATTAGCAGCTACAGGAACACTTTTTTCAGTTGTCTGATTTAAATCACTTTTTGTAAGATGAATATGTTTATCAAACTGTTACTGCAGAGACTGGTCCTTGTCCTGTTGAATGTTGCAAATTTAAGGAAACTGAGGTATGCTTGATTTAGCCCTTATTTCCACGATACCGGATTGAAGCGCCGTAAGCACCGTCCCCTTCATCCGTGTAGATATGCCTACGTATCATGGCATTTCTGTAGGTGCCTAAGCAGGCCTTCGTTCGGCCTTGCCTAGTGATGCGGTTCTGCATCCATGCACTGCCGGTACTCATATACCATGGAGCCATGGCTTGCTCAAATGGCCCCCTAGGCGATTATAAGCAAAGGGAATGTGCTTGCGCCGCTTCAATCCAGTATCAAAAGCGAAAGGGTTATTTTTCTTAGAGGCGACATCGATAACTAGCAGTATGCTAGTAAACTCATAAGATCGGGCTTTTTGTATGCACCAGCTTGATTTAATTTATACCTCCATCCTGGAACTTATTTGATCGTATATCTGCTGATCCTCCACACTTCGGGCGGACTGAAGGGCGCCTAGATAAAGCATGTAGATGCTTGCATTTCAATTTCAGCTTCAAGCCAAGAACTTTCGACTATATTATTAAGGCGATGATCTGAACCATCCTAATCTTGAAGGGAGGTCTTGAGTTTAAAAGTTGCCGTGATAAAAGCGACCAACTGAAGAACGTGGATTTGTCTGCCTCCAGTATCACGCTTTGCTCGTACAAGTTGGACAACTAACCACATCAACAGACGTGATTTCTGTCGTATATGCAACTAATGACAAATGAACCGGCCAAGTGACTCGCCTCACAAATCACTGTTCAACGTCAATAAGTGAGCGTTGGTTTCCGCCGATCCCACAGACGCCCGTCGGTCGTCCAAGAAGAATCAAATTATTGAGTCAGTGAGAGAGACAGAAGGGATAGAGCAGAGAATATTGGAAAAGCATCGATCGACTTGCGTTGCTGCCTCACCCATGAAGAAACAAAGTCTTATGAAACATCTTACCATTCTAGCCTGCACTGGATGCACGGTACGTCAGTAACAGAACTGGCTTACAGTTTTCATGTGTTATATGGAGGAAATTCGGTGCCCTTATCGGGCATTCACTTTCGAGTCAAAGTTGCGTAGGCTGCAGCGTCGCGTTTAAACTAGGTGATTTACGATCGTGCAAGGCCATTGTCTGTTCGGTGTCAAACAACCACTGGCGCCAACAGTATGAATGTAACCAACCGCCATCAGTCGCTTCTGTCCACATTATTATCTACACACTTGCTCCGCTTGCGAAGTTCTGTGATCGGTTGACGTACAGCAACGCAAATCCAG